TTGACATATATATATATATATATATATAGTTTTCTATTTGTTTTATGTTGATTACATTTAGCTGCCTTAACTTTTATGTTTTGTCAAGTTCTTTGTGATTTACAAATGGAGGTAGATGGCTATAATGTTTTGCATGAGAATTATTTTGAATACGTTGACAAATAATAATAATAATAATAATAATAATAATAATAATAATAATAATGTATATTTAATTTGAGTTTCAAATTCATACTATTTAACTAATTCGGATCAACTTAGAGCTGTCATACTAAATTCAAGCCTATGGGCGAGTTGCCCTTGAAGTGTTTAGTCAGATTTGTTATTTCACGGGCGTGATTTTCTGTTCAAAATTATCAACGCAGTATCAAGACAGGGGTTCATTTATCCTATCCCAAATGTATTGTGCTCTTCTATACCGATCAATCACTATCCGTCATGTGTATTGGTCGGTATAGAAGGGGCATAATACATTGAGGGTAGGGTAACTGAACCCATCAGGAGGCGTCACCACCTTAGGTTGTCTTCCAAGATTGCGCATAAACCGGTCCACTATTTCCACTGCACGTGTTTTTCACATTTTAAAGGTATTAAAATCATCATATTTACGCTTAAGGGAATTTACACATACCTCCCTCCGAGACGAGAATGTCATAAATTTGTGTCATTATTTATGGTCATAGAACCGATTCCGTCCCGCATACTTTTCATCATGTAGAAAGTTTCATCTCTTTTTCCTTGAGCCACCACAATGGATCCCTTGGTTACCTTCCACGACTTAGTTTAAAACACTGTCGAGTAACCTGTCTCATCCAATTGTCCCATAAAAATCAGATTTTGTTTCAGACCTAAGACATATCTCATGTCATTTAGTCTCCGCTACACTCAATTCGGTTTTTGATTCAAACCATTCTCTTACCTACAATTTTCAGTGGCTGGTCATCTGCAATATAGCTCGACAACACCAAATTACCTGCGATATAGGATTTCATGATTCCTGAATCACTGTATGAGTAGAATGAAGCTCCTGAGTTCAAGATTTATGACTCCATTGGACGGCTGACGCTCAAAATCAGTGCATCAGATAGCTCATTCTCTGCATTTGCTGAAGCCTGATCCTTCTCCAATGCCCTGCACTGTCATTCTTTTTTGTTGCAGTTCCAATATACCACCTGACTTGCATTTTTTTTCCCTTGTTCTTCGGCTTCGACTTTGACTATTCTTGATCTTGACTCATTCCCTTCGCCTCAGATCTACCCCTATTTTCGACACTAATGGCAGATCCAAATCCAAATTCAGTATTCTTACCCAAATTTCTTCGGATCTCCTCACTCAATATTAGATCTCTTACTGCATCAAACTTCATCATCTTTTTCCCTAAAAAAGCTCTACTCAAGGTTGTTACTATTGAATCTCAACTATCCGGAAAAGACAATAGTAGAATTACGGTTTGATCTTTGAATTGAATTCAAGATTCACAGACCGCAATTGCGCAGTGATCAGGTTGAATTCATTCAGATGTACAACAACATGAGTCTCTTCAACCATCCTCAACTTGAACAGTTTTTGCATCAAGTAAACCTTGTTTGCAGCAAATGATTTTTTGTGCATATCCTGACATGATTCTTAAAATCTCTAGTGTCAATTCTGCATGAACCATGTGAAACAAGACATTTTCCAAAAGGGTTAGTCGAACCATACTCATGGCCTTCCTTTCGATCTTTTTGTATTCAGATTCATTCATGTCTTCAGATTTCTCTTTCAATGTTGCATCTAGATATTTACCATACAGGTAATCTTCTATCTACATCTTTTAGAAACTGAAGTTCATTCCATCGAATACTTTGACTCTCACAAACGATCACCAATCTTGACTCCCACAAAAGAACCTAAGACTCTGATACTACTTATTATGAAAAAACTCAGGAAATCAAGAAAAGACGAATAAGAACACAAGAATTTGATTACCTAGTTCGATCATAATGACTTACGTCGGGGGTGCTGCCAAGCCAGGAATTTTACAATAAAATACGCAGACACTTGTTAAATGAGAATACATGAATATTTATAGTTTAGCAAACCCTAGGACCATGTCAATCATATTTCTAAATTTATGATATAATATCCAAATTTTATGATATAATAGAGTTTTATATCTCAATAATTATAAATAAGTTCTTATAATTGAATAGAGAATTTTAATTTCGTATTTCAATAATCAAAAATTTAAATTACTATTCCAATTTTAAATTAAAACTGAACAAACTTCCAAGTCTATATTTAGGCAGGCCACACACATTAATTCGATGGGCTTAATATGTTTTGACAACTCGAATTATTCCGTTTTTTTTTTTTTAATAAAACAAATAGCATTCATTACAAAATTTATTTATTCTATTAAATATATATATATGTTTTCAAATGTTACAATTCATTTTAACAACATATAATGAAAGATTAATGCCTTACCTACTTAAATACTTGAATTGGATGAAGTCCTTAATAAAAAAATTTAAAATAAAATAAAAAAGTTGATTTGGATTTGTAAATAAAGTTGGAATTATTCAACTTTATTCCCCAAAATATCATATAGATATATATATATATATGTCTATTATTGTGTTAATTTCTTAAAAAAAAGGCTGAATGTCTATTTGTTATATTGGTGCTATAGAAAAATATGTTTCATAATTAATATGTCTGGTGATTAAGACTGGCCCTGGCCAGGTGAGTCCCCATATAAATAAGGGGTTCATGTATTTATGTTATATATATATATAGATAGATAGAGTCGCTCTTGAGTCGCTCTTGACTTTTGAGTGTTCAGAATTAAATATAAATAGGAGTTTCTAAATATGTATAAATAATATTTTTTATTTATAAGAAATATTTAAATAATTAAATAAAATATTTTTTATAATTTTTTAAATATAAAAATAGTATTAGAAAAATTTCACAATTTTATATCCTACGAATTAGAATCCAACCTCACCATTTCAAAGTAACTTAATACCACAAAACTACATTCCTTTTTAATTTAAAGCAAATAAAATAAGTTCTATATATAATAAGTATACCTTATCGCTCGAGCTCAGAGCCGACCTGTATATATATAATTTTTATATATAAAACTTATTTGATATATATTAATATAAAAAAAATATGATTTGATAGCATGGGGTGATCCATATTAGAAAAATATATATTTTTTATTATATATAAAAAAAGATATTAGTTTTTATATATATTTAGGAGTCCTTACTTTTTGTAATCTACAAACGTGAGAAAATATTGTTTTTATTTAATTATTTATATTTTATTATATAAAAAAAATATTATTTTTATATATTTAGAGACTCTTATTTTTATTGCGTTCTAATTTTTCAAAAGTCTGGATCGACCATGTCAATGATTCATATAATTACTACATTCGTCCGGTTCTAAGGGTCTCATTTACTTTTTGTCTGTTGATATTTGAATATTAATTATTATATCAAAATATAGTACAAATTAAGAAAAAAAATATGCAAAAATATTTCTATTATAGTCTTATAATACTAATAAATGGGCATTTGTAAAAAAAAATTATACAAATATAAAGATAATTTTAATATCAAATATAATGATACAAAAGGTAAATGTGACCGTTAGAGGAGGACGGAGGAAACATATATTATGGTCTATACAAGTATATTTGGTGCTCTATAGAAATATATATTATGATCATGATATTATCTTGAGTATATTATATATTATGTTCTTTACTATATTACAAGCATCGAATGACTAAAAGTGCGAAAATTTATTATTTATGAAACTATTTTGAGATAGACTCCAATTGTAGAATTAAAATGATAAAAAATTTACTTATGAGACTAAAAAATAGTTCATGTTATTTATATGTCATATATCTATTTTTATTAAATATTTTACAATATCCAAAACTTTTTGAATCCATAAGGCTAGTGTGATTTGAGTTTTGGATTTAAATTTTATTATAATAAAATTTTGATCAATTGAAATAATTATTTAATACAACATAAATACATGTTAATATGATATTTAATAAGAATTAATTTTTAATATAATTATAAAAAATATTTAGCTTGATATATATCAAAATTCTTTTATAAATAATAAAAAATTAAATAGAAAATTATAAATAATTACAATTTAAAACACCTTCAAAAATATATTTAAATACAAATTAAATGAATGGGATTCTCGACAGGAATATATCTATATATATATTGCACGAAGAAAGATAAAAAATAAAAAATTTATTTAATTAATTTATACTTTTCCGCGTCCATTTTATACATAAGTTAGAGATAGCAATGAGTTCGGATAAATTCAAAATCTAACCAATTATTGAGGTATTGAGACATATATGTATAGGATCTTAAATATCTTAATAGGTCCAGATCAAATTTAAGGTATAAAGATAGACTCAACTCGGATCCGAACCCAATAAAATTAATATATTAATCATATTAAATATATTCTCGTTTTTAAAAAATTATAATAATATAATTATATTAAAATATTTTTTATGGTTTGATTTATTTATTTAGTACTAAACTTTAAACTGGCCGTGTTTTGGCAAAATTTTCAAGTTTTTATTATTTATCGAATTTTAACAAAAAATATAGAAAGAAAAATATATCTATTTTATATTTTATAGTAGGAAATTAAAAATTAATTTTATATTAAAAAAATTACATTAATTTTTATTTATATAGTATATTTTATAATTATTTAAATTTTAAAATTTTATTATTCAAATTCTAATATAAAATTTAAAATTCAAATAAACAAACACATTTTATTACTATATTTTTTAATAAAATACATTGGAGGAGTTGAGACTCGGATCTAACGATGAATTAATTCTTTAACACACTTAAAAATATATTTCGAGTTTGTCGGATTCCGAATATATTCGGGTCGAATTCGGGTTATCTGTACCGACCCTTACAAGACCATTACCATCTAGCGTGTTGAAAACCAGAAAAGCTCCGTTAAGCCCAGTCCAACGGCAGTGATGAATCCGGGCGGCGTGACGACGTGAACCAACGGAGGAATAATTGTCGGCGAGGGGCAATGGCGCCGCCTGAGCGTTTGCAAGCGAGCCAGAGCCTGCATCCTCCATTTCTCACGCCAAGATACTCTATGTTTCATGGTGTCTAGACTAGACTGATTTATTCAATTGCCATTCGCCTTAATTTTTCAGTTTCTGCATTCAATTGTGGAGCCACTCGGCGGCGCTTGGGATGCTCCGGCACCTCCGCGCGCGGCGGCGCCCGCGGTACGGCGCACACATCTGCGCTCTTATTGCTGCGCTTCTCCTCCTCCTTTCCGTTTCCCTTCTGTATAGCCGCCTCTCTTTCTTCACTTCGAATCTTTCACACCCCCTCCCTCTTCCACACGACAATTCTCTTTCCTTTAACCCTCTTCTCGACGATCTCGATTCCGACTCTCTAACCACCTCCCTTTCCAACGACGATCGCATCGACGAGCTTGATGATGCGATTCTAGATAGCAATAATGAGGAATTCCTTGCCGAGGAAGAAGACGAAGATGCTATTCAGAACCAGAACTCTGCTGTGACCTCCAATTACTTCTTCGACCCCGTGGGCGGCGTCGTTCGTAGATCTTTTAACCGACGCTCTATTGAAGAATGGGAAGATTATGTCCCCTTCAATTTGAAGCTCACCTCAGATTTAGGGTTTGGGAATAATGACTTGAAGCCAATTTTCGGATCGGACGATGTTTTGGTGGACGAGAAATTGCGGAAGAAATTTAGTGACGTGAAGAAAATCGAGGATGCGTTGCTGTTGAAGGGATCAGCATTGAGGGAAGGTTGGGGGGAGTGGTTCGATAAGAAGGGTGATTTCTTAAGGAGGGATCGGATGTTCAAGTCCAATGTTGAGGTTTTGAATCCTTTGAACAATCCGATTTTGCAAGATCCCGATGGAGCTGGATTGACAGGGTTGACAAGAGGCGATAAGTTATACCTCAAGGGTATCCTTAGCGAGTTTAAACAAACGCCATTCTTGATAAAGAAGCCGCTGACGACCTCCGAGTCCGAAATTGAGCTTCGAGGAAAGAAAGGAAACGATGAGGGTAAGGAACAGAGGATTGTGGAGAGAAAGACATTAGGTAGTGATCATATCAAAATGGTGAGGAAGAATGAGGGTTTGGAGAAAGCTTATTATGCTGATGGGAAGAGGTGGGGTTATTTCCCGGGATTGGATGGAAGTCTATCTTTTGGGAATTTTATGGATGCATTCTTCAGAAGGGGGAGGTGTAAAACGAGGATTTTCATGGTGTGGAATTCGCCGGCTTGGATGTTTGGTGTTCGGCAGCAGAGGGGACTGGAGAGTGTTCTATATCATCAGAGGGACGCCTGCGTGGTGGTATTTTCCGAGACTATGCAGCTTAATTTCTTCGATGGGTTTGTAAAAGATGGGTAATTTCCTATTCCATGTAGTGTGCTTTACATTTTCATTTGTTCTTCTTGTGTGCATATGGATATGTTGTGTCTTGGATGCATATAGGTTCTGACAGTTATATGACATAAATGTCTTTTGTTGTTAGCCTTCGGTGGTCTTTTTTTAACTTAATCCTGCTCTATTTCCTGTTTATGTTGTTCTACCTTTGATTCAGAACAAAGGGAACAAGTAAAAGGTTGTGTTTCCCTTGTCCAGGTACAAAGTAGCTATTGTCATGCCAAATCTTGATGAGCTGCTGAAAGACACACCGACACACGTATTTTCTTCTGTCTGGCATGAATGGAAGCAGACAAAACATTATCCTACGCACTACAGTGAACTTATTCGGCTTGCGGCTCTTTACAAGTAATCCATATAAATTTATACCTGAAGCTGTAATTGGTTATTCGAATTTCGAAAGTTGGAGAGTTAATTTATTTCACTTTTAATATAAGCTAAGTCGATGCTCTTGGTTAATATACTTACAGAAACTCTGTAGATGAGATTGCATTGGAAAGTGATTGGTGCATAGGCTAACCTAGACAACCATTCTCATTTTAATATTTATCTTTCTATGTCGGCACAATTTCACATACGCACAATTCATCAGGCCGGAGGTATTGTTTATAGTGGAGATAGATCTCCCATCTTACTGTATTTTTCTCTCTTTCATATGTTTGACATATCAATCGCACTTGCATTTCTATTTTAGTTAGACTTCAGAGGGAACATCACTAATTATCACTTCAGCTCGTTGAAGGTAGTATCTTCTACAGATACATTTTTATTGTATAAACTAACCTTTTACTACTTAGTATTCAGCACATATTATGGTTCTTAAGATAAAATTTATAGTAGATTCTCGAAAATGAAAGATTCCTATTTCTTTCATTGTGATGATTAGGTGAGCCCTTATTAAGTGCCAACTATAGATGGGAACTTGAAGCTTTGACATTTCATGCCGTCATGTATTGGCCAACTCCAGAAGCATTTGATCCATTTTGTTTGTGAACTGTAGATATGGTGGAATCTATCTGGATTCTGATGTTATTGTGTTGAAGCCGCTACCTCAGCTAAATAATACCGTCGGATATCAGGACAATCTTGCTGGAGAAACTTTGAACGGAGCTGTAATGGCATTTGACAAGTACAGGTACCTTAAAAGTTTTATAGGGTAAATTATACAACACCCTTTGCAATTTAGTAAAGATGCACACAATAACTCGTATTTTATTTATTGCTTAAAATCCCTTTCTGTTGAATTAAAGTATGTACAAAACACTTCGGCCGGAGGTTTACCCAGTGCGCACTTTCGGGTAGCGGCTGCGGGTTCCCACGTCAAAAAAAAAAAAAAAAAAGGTATGTACAAAACACGTCCCGTAAGGAATGGCCTGGTGGTGTAGGGGTTGGACTTGTGACCGTGAAGTCATGGGTTCAAACCCCCGACGCCTCAGGTTACCTGCCACACATGGTTCGCCCGGAATGTTGTAAGATGCTCATCCCATGCCTTGGTTAACTAATGTTAACTAATGTTGCACGTGCAAATTGAACATTATTTGAATTGCATACATGCTGATGGATTGTTGGATAACGTCTTCATACAACATAAGAGACAGTTGTCTCCACAACAATTTAAGCTTGCCTTTTGTTCTCATTGGCCAGCATTGTTGTGCTTGCAAATTGCAATGCATAATCTTTACTGACCAGTAAATGGAGGGGAAATCCGTTTTTTTTTTCTTTTTCTTTTTTGCTTTCGTACTTAATACTCAGAAGTTTAAATCAATACTTTATGTTATATAGGATGATCTGGTAGAATATCCTTCTGCACAATAGGATGCTGGATGCATGATATAAATTCTAAGATGTACAATTATATTTTTTAAAATATTGCGGAAGCCTCTTATTGATACATCAATGGGTGGATAGTCCTATAATCCTATGGTTTAGACTTTTGTGTGGCTGAAATAATGTTAAGGCCAGCACCAGCGAAATAATTGTATCCTGGTGATGATGAAATCACGTGATTTTGAACTGAATAATTCCTCCATCGAAGCTGGTGATGTCTTATTCAAATAGAACAGAAAGTTGGGATTTAGTGTTCAATGCTTGACTCTGTATGAAGCACTCTATTGGTTGAATTAAATGCAAACTGAATGGATTCATAGTTTTTATATATTTGACGAGATCCATACTTGCACAAACTTACAATAGAACTAAAGCTAATGATTTATGTGCAGTCCTCTTCTAATGGAGTGTTTGATAGAATTCTATGCAACATATGATGATGCTAAGCTGCTATGGAACGGCGCTGATCTTTTAACCAGGGTGGCCAAAAACATTTCAACCAATCATGTTAATTCTGTAACGAAATTCAAGCTCCAATTACAACCCTCTTCCATTTTCTTCCCCATTGACCACAAAAGTATTTCGAGGTAAGCTTCATAGATTAAATTTATGAGTAAACGTGGCAATGCATATCTATATTTTGAAATGTATTGGTAAAAGAATGAAATCTTGTTCCGGACAGTAGGTCAACAAAGAATATATCTCTACTGGTTCGATTCTTATATCGTATCCGCTATGCATAGTTGCAGTCATCTCTTGTGTTAAGTACCAATTTTAGAGATATTACCAAATCTTTATTTGACAAAAAGAATTCATAGTGTTTAATCCTTGATTGAAGTTGTCTTTGATGCTTTTTATGTAGTGTACTCTGTTTGTAAGAATTTGGTTCCACTTTATCGATGCAGCTTAATAAAACGAGCATGAAACCAGTTTTCTAGTCAAATTGAATAATTCGTGAACCTTTTTGCACCAAAAGGTATGAATTGAAAAGCCTCCATGTCATCGTTGTCTGATCATCAGAATCGCAAGGAAGAAACTGTGGTTTACATTGTGAGGGTGTCGATAGCCTCGAATGTGCATATTAGCATTCGGTCAGTGCTGTTTAAAATCTTAAAATTTGTTTGCAGGTACTTTGTTGCACCGGGAACCGAGGCCGAAAAGCTTGAAGAAGATGTGCTCTTCAACAAGATCTTGAAGGAGTCATTTACTTTTCACTTTTGGAACAGCTTAACCTCTGCTCTTATTCCCGAGCCCGATAGTCTTGTTTACCTGCTTCTTAATCGGTTCTGCATCTATTGCTCAGATCAATTATGATTATATGATTAATTATACAGATTAAATGAAATAGGAAATTTCATGATCAAAATTTGTTGCTTAATATTTATTCGTCAATCAATATGATAGATTTTGTTTATAAACAGCAGGGGCAGTAATTTTTAGTGCAAAATTTGTACGGTTATACACTTTGTTTGGGGTTGAGATTTCAACATTAAATTTTTTTTAATTGGAATAGTTGTATCATGTTATGTCAATCAATAAGCTGTGATGTGATGTTTTAAATATGAAATTTATTTTTAGTATTTATAAAAATAAAAAATGAATATTTTTGATTTAATATTTTTGGGAAAAAATGAGAATGAATAATATATAATTTGATCAAAATCGTTCAAACAAACACACGGTGAAGGATGGGAGATTGGAGATTTGTTCATTGCTGCAGCCGCCGGAAGGGTTTGCTACATTATTGGATGGAAATTTGATTTGAGTAGTTGATGTTTTTCCAGCCCAGCCTTCTATTATTATTATTATTATTATTATTATTATTAGATCATCTACAGCCATTACTTGTAGTAGCTACAGTAAAAATGCAAAAAAGTATATTATCTATATATTTTTCTTTTATAATTTTTTATATAATTTTTTATATTTATAAATGACGCCCCAGCTTTAATTTATTTTTACAATATAACCTATATATATAATTACACATTATATATCATTTTTCGAAAGATAAAATTATATATCACTTTTTTAAAAATATAAAATTTTACATTATTCTTAAAAAATAAAATAATATCACTTTCCAAAAAATAAAATTATACATTATTTTTTAAAAAATAAAATTACATCTCATTTTTCTAAAAAATAAAATTATACAATATACCAAAAAAAAATAAAAATACACAAACACCACAAAAACATCACACAAACTCCACTAAAAAAATGGAGTGGAGTGTACAGTGTTACTCCAAAAATAGAGGAATTTGGGCAATTAATTATAGTTATTGCAAAGACGCGCCATTTTCTTTGTGTTCCCTTGGCCGAAGGGATCGCATAAAGAATTACACTCCAACACCACCCAACTGATGTTATCCAACATGCAGAGATGCCAATGGAACCGTTGTGCACCGGAAAATTTATATATTGGCATCCAACTCGAATTTTGTCTATTATTGCGGCGATCTCCTTGCATATGGTCAATTACCCTTATTAATGGTCGGCTTTTTTTATCCTCTAGACGTTGGGTGATAGCCCATCGTTCACGGCTTTCTGAAAATCTAACAAAGCCACTAACACAATAATAACAGTATGTTTTATAATATTAACCGTAAAAATTTCAAATAAGATAATCACCAATACAAACCATGGGCACACACCCACAGCGCACCTGCAGGTTGTGCTGAAGCTGGTATTCAGTGTTGTATAAATATTGAAGGTATGCGTCAATCACCTCGCCTTTGATAGCTTCATCGAACAACAGTTCTAGCACCGAATCGGACGAGACAAACACGATGCCTGTCTGTCATACATTGTCCCTACAAAATGATAGCCGCAAACATAAAAAAAAAAAAAAAAAAAAAAAAAAAAAAATCACTTGAGAAAAATATAAGACGCCCTAGTTGTGAATAGCAATACCGGACGACGAAGGACACGAGAAATTGTCCAATAGTATTTGTCTCATCCTCATATAGTGTCCCTTTCCATACAATAGTTGTCATTATTTTGATATATCTCCCACTTTTTTACTTCATCGTTTGTTCTAGATGTAGCGTCTGAATCCCCATCCTCGCCGACAACAAATAGTTCTTGAACCAACAATGAAGATAATCATACCGTAGGTATCTGTATTTATTGTAGAAGTATTAATTCAAAATATCCGGGTATTTAAGAAACTATCCGAAGTACTTTAAGCCAGATGATTAATATTTGTATCAAACTACGTACTTGCTCATCTACAACATCGGCCATTGATTTTCCTTTAGCCCTCCCAGTTTTTCTGGCTCTCTTTATTCACGGTGTTGATATGGGTGTCACAAATTCAGCCTTTTTTTCTCTCTCTTCCGATCAGTACGTGCCATAACAACACGTACGATCGATGAATCCGCAGCCCCACTAAAAGTCTGACTGCCAGACTCATCGACCGGCTATGATTTCAACAGAGCAAATAATCATTAATTAGACGGACAACTACGACCAACAAAATGTACTTACTATATTAATTAACTTACCTTGACATCCAGAGACGCGATATACGGTACAATGACCATTAGTTGGTTAAAGTCTTGTATGCTACCGACGCCTTCATCGTCCGACTCGTTTATTGGATCAATCTGGCCCAAAAAGGTGTCCATTTTCTTTTTTGCTTTGCCGTTCAGTATTAACTCGTTCTTCCATTGCCTCGTCGAGATCCTCTTCAGCCTGTTTCTCCTCCTCCTTAGCCTACTTCTCCTCATCCTCGGCATGTTTCTCCCCCTCATCAGCCTGACTTCTCCTCCTCCTGGTCCCCCTCTGTTTGATCTTCTTTCATCCTCCTCCAATTGTTTCTCCTCTGTCTCCACATCCTTCCGCTCTGTTGTCTCATCCTCATACTCCGTGTCACCCTCGTCATTACTATCACTTTCATACTCCGTGTTATCATCGTCATCACCATCACCCTCATCCTCACATTGATCTTCACCGTCCTCCTCAACTACCCATTTGCAGCTTACGAGTAAGTTTCGCAATTGCAGCATCCTTTTTCCGTAACTCCACCTTCAACATCTCAATTTCTTGAGCTTCTTTCTACAAGTTATGTTAATCATATCATATAAGAAATTATTTTATTCATTTACAATGGTAACAACATTAAATAATACATTTACCTCTGAAGCATGGTATATTACTCAAACAAACTTCTCTTCGGTTCCTATTCGATAAAAGTCTTGAATATCCGTCCTTTTCAAGGATGATAATTCAGTCACTGCAGCAACCCTAAAGATCGGACCTATGTTGTTCATCCACTGAAAGAGCTGTGGTACCATTTTTACATTTTCTAGTTTTAAATAAAATATTTATTTTACATGCATCATCATAATATAAAAAATAAAAAATATATATTTAGTATTTTGGTTTGAGGTATTTTTTTCGTTCCAATTGAAATGACTCTTTTTATTTGTGATACGGTATTTAAGGTAATAGAGTTTAATTAGTTAATAATATTAATTAAGATATTATTTTATTATCTTTTATGTAATTAGTATTATCGTATTTTTAAAATAAGAATGAATATATATGATTAAAATAAATTTAAAATATATGTCTAAATATTTTAAATATTATATCTCAATAAAATATGTGCAATGTTAACTTTCAACCACTGCCAGGTTCGGAGCAAGTTATGGCTTATATTAAAAACCAGTTCCACCTCGGACCCGGACCCGGATCCGAATCCCGATTTTTAATAATTCTTAGATTAATATATATTTATATAATATAAATAACATTACGTATTTATTTTTAAAAATTTAAATATAAAATAGAATCATAATTTCTAAATCAAATTTGTTTAGTTTTTTCCTCAATTTGTTTCACAATCAGAACTACTGTCATCGTCTCGTCGGCCGCCGATGGCCATCACCAGGGATTACCGCCAATATTTGTTTTTTTTTTTGAACTAAAATTTTGCTTTGTTTGTCACCGACCACCATCATTGCAAACCACCGCCAATATTTTATTATTCTTGTTTTTTGAACTACAAATTTTTTGGTCTTTAACACTTATGTTGGGAATTTGTTTTCTTTAGGATCAATGACTCCGGTTCGTACAACTAAATATTGTAATTCTCACGGAGACAATTAGTAGGCTAGTTCAATAAATAAATAATAAAATCAAAATAATACTCCCTCCGTCCAACATACCATGTCCTCGTTACCGTTTCTAATTAATTATCTTAATCTTAATTTATAATTATTTAAAAATACCATTTATATAGTAACACAGAGGTAGTAATAAGAAAAGAGAATCAATGTTATAATATAACAAAATATCTGGCACTCAGATCACAGTTCACTTCGCGCCAAGTCGAAGCTTTCCAACGACACAACACACAACGGAGAGCAATTGAGAATTTCGACACCAAGTAACCCGCAGTCTCACAAAGGAGCAGAAAGAACACAAAGTCTAACCGGACATGAGAACCGACAAACTCTGGCAAACACTTAATAAAGAACACAGAGACTAACACAAAGATCGTACCAAGCGACTAATCTCGCTCTTGGCTCCTGCAGCCTTCAATCGATTCCCACACCAAAACCCACGAACACCAACCAATATTTACAGCTAAAAAGATAATGGGTAAACCTCAACCAAAGAGGTAACAACTATACCTTATCGAACAACCGGACGGACCGAGAAAGAAGGAGATAAACGCATCGAAAGTAGGAACCGGCGGGGATAATTCAAAATCAATAGCAGAAAGAAAGATAAGTTGGAACCCGATTCTGATTTGAAAGAACCTACAAAACACAATCAAGCTGGTTCGATTCGGTTCTAATTTGTATTGGGTCGGATATATTCTAATTTGTACCGGGTCGGATTAGGTCAAATCGGATGAAATTGCTCTGGTTCGAACTGAAATAAACTCAAATAGTTTTTTTTTTTAGTATTATATTATTAAAATAAAGGGGGAGTTGGATTTAAATCCCTGTCAGATAAATTCACTTACAGTTCAGTCCCTATTAAAAATGAATTAGTCTGCACTCCCTACTTTATGGATTAGGTATGTTATGGCTCCCCATTTGTATTTATCCCTCAATTATTGTTGTATACGCAATAAGTACTCGAAATAAGTTGATCAATACTTCAAATATTGTAATATATACCTACATTACTTCCCGCTCTACCCCCATTATAATCTTATCTACTTCTAGTTAAATATCGCGTACTTTTTTCGCGAATTAAAAAATAAATAAAAAAGAAAAAGATAGTTACCCACGATTTAACAGGGATTGATGAAGAAAATCTCTTATAACTTCTCTTACCACAATTTTAAACCCTACATCTCTCTTCTTCAGGAGAATCGACGCTCTTCAACCCTTGACAACCAAGTAGCGATCGGTTGGTGCAAAAATGCTGAAGAAAACAGTTGATCGCTCCCATCCCCGAGACAAGCTCGAAGAAGAAAACAGTTGATCGCTCCCATCCCCGAGACAAGCTCGAAGAAGTAAGTTCCTGACTGGACTTTTTTCGATTTTTTATTTTGTTGATACTAATATTTTGTACTGTAGTTGTTCGATTGTTTGGGGTGTAACTCTTGGTCTTGTGTTTGTATGTCTCGGTTCGGTGTTGAGGAGCCCTGTGTGATCGATGTAGTTGTGTTTGTTAACCGGGTTTAAAATCGTTCGTATGTTTGCCCACGTAGACCGGGTTGGATTTTTTTTTTGGCACCGATATTTGGTGATTTTATTTGTTTAATATGTGTTTTTTTGTTAATTTTGTAGATGTACATTTTGTTTAGTTACCCGTAGTTGCATATTTTAGTTTTTTTGTTTGATTGTTCGGTAATTAGTCATGTTTGTGGGTTGGCTAATGTGGTATTATTAAGTACCCGGAGTTGCAGTTTTAGATCTAGTTTGCTAAGTAATATACTTTTAGGGACTAATGTGTACTCGACATGTGTTGTTACGTACTCCTGATAGATTCTGATAAATTTTTAAATATATTCAGCATTGGGTAATGTACTGATGATATTTATTTACAGATCGTAGGTCGGATTGTGCTTGTTGTTCAATTCACTATGCGATCCGTTCGGGCAAGGGAACGCGGAGAAATTGGTACGTTTACGAAATAAATATAATTAATTTATCATGGATAAACCGAATTACGTAACAAAATCTTATGTTATTTTTACAATCGTGATTTTTATGCTTGTACCTGAACGCAATATACCTATGACCCATGGTAAGGGAGATGCCCGAGTACGTAAGATGTCGGAATCAAGGTGATACTCTCGACTGTGGTCTTTTGGTCTGCATGTTCAGCAAGTGTTACGCTCACACGAATCCAGCAGTCCATTCCATTGGTGGCATCGACGGTGAGTTTGATAATGTGAAGAGCTACCACAGTAAAATTGCGGTCAAAATAATGAAAGGTCTGCCCTCCGAATCATAGCCTCTTATGAGCAGCACAGGGTAAGTGAACATCTGTAATGAATTTAGATGGATTTGGGATTGATTTGGGTTGTGTAATTTGTACTTGATTTTGTTAATATGTTATTTTCTAATTGAATTGTTAGTTAAATTGGTTTGATTTGCCTCATATTTGATGAGATTGTATTAAGATTGATAGATGGATTGAATTGTAGGTTGAATTTGGTAAAACTTAATGTTTAGAGTAATGCTATGAATTGTGCCATAAATGATTGTATGATTAATTTTTTACATGGTTAGAATTGCAATAATGCATACGGTGTACCTCCACAACGGATCGATGTACCCGTCTAACTAGATCGAAATACCTTCAAACTACATATATATGCTCATATAAATTTTACTCATTTGTTAGGAATGTTATCCTTGTATGAAGACAACAACCAACCAGAAAAGTTACGCATACGAATTTTAAATTGGAATTAACTAATTCATTACAAGACATTGCAATGGTTGAAATAATGTTTGCAATGAACAAAACTGCATTCACGGATACTTAAGTACATTAATGGTGTACTAAGAAAGAAAATTATATACATATGATGCGAAGGTTTATGCTCTTTTAGTCACTATCATTTCTCTCAACCACCAATGAAGTAAAGAATTGCTAATAGAAGAAATGCTTTCACCAAGTTCCTTAATTGCCTTATCCGTCAAGGGATTGACTGAAGTCGACCAAATTCAAAGATATCTGCTATTACATAAATACTACCTAAGAAAACATCAATCATACATTGATTGTCAATGCTCGTATCCAGAACACATATTTAATTATTTATATACCTTCATTAAATATCAACTACCCTTAAGTAGTTTTTACTTACATATAATACGATTTCATTTGCTCTAGTAACAAGTATTTATGCCCTGATAACTTGTGCTTGAAAACCGATCATTCTCAATTTAAAACATTCAATTGTGTCAGTAACCATGGATGAATTCATCATTATAGTTTCTCGCGAATCCTAGAACAATATATAAAGGTAAACAACACATATTTACTATAGATGGATAAACAAGAGAGAAAATACTTAGTTAAAATATGTTGGTTGTTATTCATACATGCTTTGTTGTCTTCCTATCGAAAAATATGGCATGAGTTGTTGAATATAAATGGATGAATTCATCATTATAGTGTTCTCAATTCAAAACATTCAATTGTTGTTGGTAATCATGGATGAATTCATCATTATAGTGCTCTCGGGAATTCTAGAACTATATGTAAAAATAAACAATACATATTTACTATGTATTGATAAACAAGATAAAAAAAATATTTAGTTAAATTACATTGGTTGTTATTTATACATGTTTTATGGTCTTCGTATGGAAAAATATGACATAAATTGTCTAATGTAAATGTACCATGTTCAAACTTTTCCATCGGAGCTGGGAGAGGAAGTACTCTCATTGAGTTTGTGAATTGGCTCGTTCGTCAAATGATTGTCTAAAATTAACTTCATTCAAGGATACCTGCTATTACACAAATAATACCTGAGAAACTATCATTCATACATTGAATTTTTATGTTTGTACCTAGAGCGCATACTTACACACTTAAATCAAATGCATACATACCCTGATGCATATCTTATGTACTTATAATACTAGTGTTATATGCTTCAATAACGAGTATATATGTCCTGGTAACTTGTGCTTGGAAAATCAACCATTTTCGATTCAAAATATTCACTTGTTGTCAGTAACCAGAGATGAATTCATTATGATAGGGTTCCTACGCTACTTTGAATTGGATGAAAAGATAAACAAAATATATTTACTATAGATGGATAAATAAGTCATAAATGACTTATATGATATATGTATAAATCATAGTCCAACTTCTACTTTAAAGGCTAAATAAGTCATAAACAACTAAGTTAAATTATATTGGGTTGTTAGAGTACAAAATTGTTGTCTTGAATTGAAAATTTTTAGACCTATTATATAGTAATCCACAATGTAGCACACATAACAACATTCGATCATGAGCATATTTGCATAGGGCATGACTCAGCTAAAAATACGAATACTCCAGAATGGCTCCGACGTACCCTCAATGTGGCTTGATGTACAAAATCCTACTAATTGTGTACTTATTGCATTCTTTCATGTAACAAATTAACTAAATTAAAAAATATCTATTTTTTTTTTTTTTTACGGATAATACATTTTTGAATGTATATATATACTCTTAAAACTAGTGCATAATTTTCTATTAGAATAGAGATTTATAATCCTCTCCATATGGGTCTAAAATAATATTACACAATATTTTTATAATTTTTAAATGAGTAATACGTTGTAGACTGATATGTCTAGTAATATCAACTAGTTATTTCATTAATTTAAAAATTTTATTATGACTGTCAATTCGTATACCTCTATTATCATTCAAGAAATTTATGTCATCAAAAATTCATTTCTAAATGATTGTCGCCATATACCCGTACTTCTCGTTCAAGTACCACGATACAACAAATTTACAAACAAGTTTCAATACAAATTCGGTCTAACTATTGTATATTTACTTATTATATATTACATAATATCCAACACACCAAAAGTAATTATACAAAAGTTACATTGACATCAAATGATTTTGTAATTATGATCTCTGAAAATTTGAATGAATCATTTTTTATCATTCAGCTTTCTTGAGGAAGAAGTGAACTGGTAGCGAAAGAAGTTGAATTCATACCGGGATAATTTGGAATTCCACATTTAGCTTGAAGCTTAAAAATTATTTGGAAACACACTTTCGAAAACCTTTCAGTAACCATGCTACTCTTGATCTCAAGCGAGAATAAACTTCATCATCAGAGAGGTGAATAAAATATGTTTGTAATTCATTCAGAGAATTAAGAATTGGACGTAAAGCTTTAGATTATCAAAAGAGGATATAAGTCTTTCCACAAAGAATAACTATGTTAAAATTTCCCAACAAGAGCAAATCTAAATCCGAGACAAGTTCTGATATTTCAAATATCGAAAACTTCACCATGGACAACTATTCCCCATAGAAACCTAACCAAAACTCTTAGGACTATCAAACTAAGCATATGTCTTCGATGAGGTATTATGTCGAACATTTGGTGTGCAAGAAGGAAAAGAAAACATCTCGACATAGCTTGACCGATGAGGAGCCGTAGAATCAATCATATATGAAAATTCAACCTCAAACAACCACAACCGCACTGACAATCTACACCAACACCAATACTCCAAAATTAATTAATTCCGACACCAATTAGAGTAGAATCAAACCAGACGAAGAACAAAGCCACACATCAAGATGAACTCAAATCAAATGAATTAGAAAAATAGGCAAGCCAATTGTTACCAGAAATACACAATTGTCCCTCTCTCGTTGATTAATCGACATAATGAACAGGCAGTGAACGAAATTGAGACTGGACCGATTTCTGGTGATGACAAACGAAATCGCACGATTAGAGTAGATCAATCCTTACCTTGATATTTTTCGGAGATGGAGGGCAAAATCGCACGATGAAGAAACCGACGGGGTGAGAAATAAGTCTTTGGGAGGCTTGCAGATTGCCCAACCGAACTGCTGTAAATTTTCCGATGGCTGATTTCTTTCTTATCAAATTTCAGTTCCGATTTTGTGCGAATTTCAACGATATGATATTTTAGAAGAGGAGGGAGAAGATTAAGATGAATAGAGAGTTGAGATAAAACAAAATGAAAAAAGAGGGAGCGCAGCATAATTTATTATGAATGGGACTGAATATCAATTTGATTATGAAAAGAGGGATTTATCCCAATTGTCACTAAAATAGATTATATTTTATATTTTTTCCAAAAAAATGAGTTTCTCATATTCCGGGCCGGACGGCGGGGAAGGCGAATCTTGAGGCTTAATATTTTTAAACTGGCGTCCCGATGCCTGCAAAATTGATTCCCAACCCGCCCCGTCTATGTCCCACCATCCTGTCCCAAAAAGGCGCCACGAATTCCCTCCCTAAAAGCGTTTCTCAATCAACTTGGCAGTATATTTTTTCCCGTCGCCCTCAATCAATAAATACATTACATTAGCGTAGCTTAGCTGCGAAGAAACACAGAGATTCGCCTCCGACTCCGACAATGGACGTCCGACAATCACTCCTCAACCAAACCGCCGTTTCCTTGTCCCTCACAAGCCACGTCATCTCCTCCAAAGCTAAGGACTCCAATTTCGCCTTTTCCCCGCTTTCCATCCACGTCGTTCTCGGATTGATCGCCGCCGGGTCTGGCGGCCCGACCCGCGACCAACTCCTGGGCGTCCTCAAGTCCAACTCTCTGGAGGACCTCAACTCGCTATCCTCGCAGTTCGTGGCGCTCCTCTTCGGCGACGGCAGCCCTCTCGGCGGCCCTCGCTTGTCGTTCGCCAACGGCGTCTGGGTCGATCAGACCCTAAGCTTCAAACCGGCCTACAAGGAAATTGTCGAGAACAACTACAAGGCTGCTTCCAATCGCGTTGATTTTCAGACCAAGGTTTTTCTCTCAAATCAAATTTAATTTCAAATCGTTTCTATTTTTATTTATTTTCCATTTTGGAAATTAGTGCGACTCTGGCTCAAACGGTATTCTAGAAACCATATATATTGTGCACTTTTTGCATTCATAACATTGCAGGTGTTCATCGATCCATGGAAATCTGATTGTTTTTTGGTTTAGATCTGTCATCTGTTATTGCTGAGTTGCTTTGTCCGTAGTATAGCTGCATCCACCATTTGTGGGTTCCAATTAGGCAATTTTAGTTGGAGAAAGAATCACATGGTCTTGAATGGAGCTGAAGAACTTCAGTTTATGCACAGTTAAAGGTTGTTGACTCCATAATATGCTCATTCATGGTGCAGACTGCTAGAGCTAATAAATGAGCCAAGTAAGCTCGAGCATCTGTTGTTCTAATCCAACTTGAACATGTCATTAGTACGGGTTTGACTTGGCTTGTTTAGGATTAGCTGACATGGCTTGTTTGGGATTCGAGTTAAAATAATGGTGTGAGCTTAGCTCGTTAGGCTCGATTTCAAGTTCAAGCTCAGCCTGCCAATGTTTAATTTCACTCATTATTTATCATAAGGGTAAACTATTTTTTTAGTCTCGTAACTGGACCCTTTATCATTTTAGTCCTGTAAGTGGAGTCTGTCGCAAACTAGTCCCATAAGTGAAAAAATTTAGCTGTTTAAGTCCTCCGGCGCCGGAGACGCTCGCGTGGCTCGCCGGAGGTGACGTGTCTGCCAGGTGTCCGGCCAGGTCAGCGACACCTGGCGGACATGTGGATTTATTTTTTTTTTCATTTTTTTAATTTTTTTAATTTTTTTAATTGTACCAAATAAAAAAAATAAAAAAAATACAAATAAAATTTAAAATAAATTAAAAATAAGTTTTAAAATAAATTTTAAAAAATGAAAAAAAAATCCACGTAGCGACACCTGGCGGACACGTCACCTCTGGCGAGCCACGCAAGCATCTCCGGCGCCGGAGGATTAAAACAGCGAAAATCTTTCACTTATGGGACTAGTTTGCGACAGGCTCCACTTACGGGACTAAAATGATAAGGGGGTCCAGTTACGGGACTAAAAAAATAGTTTACCCTTATTATAATAAAATATTCAAAGTTTATTAATAAATACAATTTTTGATAGTGTATATATGGAGTATATTATATTTATATATACAATATACTATTAGTCGATTACTACTCCCCACGAGCCGAGCTTGAGTTTGGTTCGTTTATAAAAATACTAATTTTTGAGCTCGAATTTGACTCGTTTATCTCTATAACCGAATCACCAAATCGAGTCGAATTGTTAATGAGTTAAGGTAGGATCGAGCTTGGCTCGCGAGTTATTTAGTTCGTTTAACAGCTCTAGGTGCAAATAGGTGGGGGGAAAGTTTAGTGTTCTTATATGAGAAAAGCAAAATCATTGTAACCCCATTAGCTCCAGATAACACTTAAACGAGATCATAAGTTCGATCTATTCAAATAGCAACCTTATAATGGCCTTGAGCCTCATCCCTGAGTTTAGGAGCATGCTTAGCCCTGCACATTGACCGCAAAATTTTGTGTTAGCTTTGGATGCTACATATAAAAGAAACCGAAAATTCAAAGTCCCGGGATAAATTAGGTATATACTGCATCAATTGCAAAACCTTATGAATGGTAGTATAATCTCCTGCATTTGTGGATAGTATGTCTGACACAATAGGGATTTTGAGCATATTATTTACTGATATTATAGATAAGTTATGCAATGGAATTTGCGCGGGATTATTCATTCATTGATATTAAATTAGAAGTACGCGATTTGTAAGATGATTTGTGGAGTCAAATTAATAATAGGAATCTCTATTTGGCTTTGATTATCTAATCGTTTCATGGATGAGGACCTGATTAGTCTTATTCTCTACTCCTTGTTTAGAATTAATTTATGTTGGATGCAATGTCATCGAGTAAATCTTTTTTGAATATGTGAAATCCATTGTGATATTATACTATCTGTTAATCGCCATTGTGATTTACAATGAATGGGACGTTGGTATGTGAAATTGGTACAATCTTGAATGTTTACAAATTTGCGAAGGATATATGTCATTGCAGATTTGTCCATTTCAATTCTTTTCATTTTTCTTAGGTGACAGTCTCGGTGCTGATAAGGTAAGGTAGCATAATGTTGTGTTATATAGAAATATGTGCGGTTAAGTTTTATATTTGTCTTATGTTTTGTAACTATGTTTAGTTTGCTAAAATCATGCTATATGAAAATATATTATATATTGTCAAGATATGCACTACATGAAATCATATCGTGTGCTATTAAGTATGTTGTCCGTAATGATTATATATGCTGATTTGACCTCATCAACATTCAAATTGAAGCTATGGGATAAATATGTTCATTTTTTTTTTTTTGTTTCGGTTTTTTGGGGAATGTTGGTGAAAATTTAGTACTAACTATAGTGTTCATTTGTTATTTCAATGATTTTGCAATAAGGCTGCTGAGATAACGGGAAAGGTGAACGCATGGGCTGCAAAGGAAACAAGTGGCCTAATCAAAGAGATACTTCCGGCGGGTTCTGTCGATGCTTCCACAAGGCTACTTCTCGCAAACGCAGTTTATTTCAAAGGAGCTTGGGACAAAAAGTTCGACGCATTCAAAACCAGCCACCACGACTTCTTTCTTCTAAACGGGACTTCAATCCAATGCCCTTTCATGACCAGCACTAAGAAGCAATTCGTCCGAGCTTTCGACGGCTTCAAAGTGTTGAGGCTACCGTATGCGCAGGGCCAAGATAAGCGCAAATTCTCGATGTACATCTTTCTTCCGGACGCCAAGGACGGCTTTTCTGCATTATCCGAGAAAATGACCTCTGACCCGGAATTCATCGAGCACCATGCTCCGTTCCGACAAGTAGAAGTGAAAGCTTTTCGCATCCCCAAGTTTAAGATATCGTTCGGGTTCGAGGCCACGGAAATCCTCAAGGAAATGGGTGTGGTGCATCCGTTCTCTGGCGGGGGTCTGACGGAGATGGTCGAGTCTGCGAACAGCCACAATCTGTATGTGTCGAACGTCTTCCACAAGGCGTTCATTGAAGTGAACGAAGAAGGCACCGAGGCTGCGGCTGTGACGGCTGGTGTAGTGATGTTGTGTTCGATGGAGATGGAGGAGGAGGTGGATTTTGTAGCCGATCATCCGTTCCTGTTTGTGCTGCGGGAAGACATCACCGGCGTTATTCTCTTCGCCGGACAACTGGTGGATCCTCGTACTTGAGGTATCTTGTGTCGTGTGTGTAGATATGTATATATGTAATATAGATTAGATTTTTTGATTGAATAGAGTGGCGATGGCCTGTGTGGGGTTGTCTGTATTGTGTTTGTATTCGTGTTTGTGTTCGTGTTCGTGTTGTCGGATCGATGAATAAGAGCACTGTTAAAAAGTATGCTAGTAGAAAAAAGAAATACAGAGAATAATGTTCAAAACAATGCTAGCATCGTGGGTATAGGTATTGGTGTTTGCTTCTTGTTAGGCATATATATATATGTATATATATTGGAGCGGCTTCTCTTCTGATATAGAGGCAGTGTTAAAATTTTATTTATAGTCATTATTCTGTGTGTTTATTCTGTGTGCTAATCTAGTCAAGTTAAAATGGTACTCAATTGATGAGGTCAACGTATGTTATATAGGTGATCATCATGTGTTTATACAATTTCAACACATATATTGTTATATTATAGTATATGTTGAATTATAATATAATATATATTGTATTATAAATATGTTGAAATATGTATAAATATCTATTTGTCACTCTATACTATAGGTTTATCCTGTCATATCAGCACCATATTGACTTGACCGGATCAGTAGTTGATCCATGCTCTTGATACACAATTAAAGTGTTGGTTTAAAAATAATTTTTTGTTTTTAATATTAGAACTTATTACATTTTTTGTATTAATTTCTAAGAATTCATTCATATCAAAAAATTTTCAATGTGAGTATAATCTACAAAATCAAATAATGATAATAATAATAATAATAATAATAGGCTGCTACAGTGCTGACAACACACCGCAGCACACGGTGTGCAGTTAAATAATACACAGTGTGCAGTCAAACAACACACGATATTACTACCGGCAGTACACCGTCTGCATTCATATAATACAAATACAAACTAACAACACTAACAATACTAACAACACATATTATAGTCTTATACAACACAATCAATACTTGATTTCAGCACATCACGTACTGTTATACAACACACTTGTAACTATGAACCAACAATACAAATACAACACATGAACTGACAGCACATACTATCGTCTTATACATCACAAATACTAATTGATTTCAGCATATCACATACTGTTGTACAACATACTATAATTACGAAGCAACATCACCTATTATTATTATACTCAGTTTGTGCCGTTCAATAATAATAATAATAATAATAATCATTCAAATAAAATAAATAAAGAAACACACATACTACTTAAGATCGAAACCCCAAACAAACACACCCATATGTACACCTTGATGATATATATAATAATGATTATGTCAAATTAATAAGATGTCTTGATCCGCGCCAATATTTTAGAGTGGGCCCAAAGAGTAATAATATGGACATTAATGAATGAGTGACCGACCATCCTGTCCTAAAAATCGCCACGTATCCCTCTTTATACCGCGTTCAAAAATGCCATTCATCACATACCGCACCATCTTAGCTACCAAGAAAACACACACACAGTCTAGATTCGCCTCCGACTCCGACAATGGACCTCCGACAATCACTCCTCAACCAAACCGCCGTTTCCTTGTCCCTCACAAGCCACGTCATCTCCTCCGAAGCTAAGGACTCCAACTTCGCCTTTTCCCCGCTTTCCATCCACGTCGTTCTCGGATTGATCGCCGCCGGGTCGGGCGGCCCGACCCGCGACCAACTCCTGGGCGTCCTCAAGTCCAATTCCCTGGAGGACCTCAACTCACTATCCTCGCAGTTCGTGGCGCTCCTCTTCGACGACGGCGGCCCCCTCGGCGGCCCCCGCTTGTCGTTCGCCAACGGCGTCTGGGTCGATCAGACCCTAAGCTTCAAACCGGCCTACAAGGAAATTGTCGAGAACAACTACAAGGCTGCTTCCAATCGCGTTGATTTTCAGACCAAGGTTTTGTTCTCAGATTAAATTTTATTTCAGATCGTTTCTATTTTCATTTTCTTTCCATTTTTGAAAATTAAACGGTATTCTAGAAATCATATATATTGGGCACTTTTTGGATTCTTCATAACATTGCAGTTTTTCATCAATCCATGGATATCTGATTGTTTTTAGGTTTAGATCTGTCGTCTGTTATTCCAATTAGGAAATTTTAGGTGTAGAAAGAATCAATCACATCACATGGTCTTGAATGGAGCTGAGGAACTTCAGTTTATGCACAGTTAAAGGTGGTTGTTGTTGACACCATAATTTGCTTATTAATGGTGTATTTGGCTTGAATTTTATACATTTTATTATATAAACTAAATATATCTGGTTTTATTGTCAATTTATTATAATAAAATATTTAAATTATATTAATAAGTACAAATTTTCATATAAATAATTATATATTATATTAATATATACAATAATACAAATGGATTATCACTACTGAACTCAATCGAACTATATTATAGTAATAATGATTTTTGAGCCCTGCCCTTCTCATTTATCTCTATAAACGAGTTGACTCGAGCTGTTAATGAGGTTGGCCTTAAGTTACCTAGTTCATTTAACAGCTCTAGGTGCAAATAGTTGTCGGGAAAGTTTAGGGTTCTTATGAGGAAAGCAAAATCATTGTAACCCCATTAGCTCCGGGTAACACTTAAATAAGATCATAGTTCGATCCATTCATATAGAAACCTTATAACGGCCTTGAGCATCATCCCTGAGTTGAAGAGCATGCTTAGCCGTACATATTGGCAGAAAGATTTTGTGATAGCTTTGGATGATGCATATAAAAGAAAACCGAGAATTCGAAGTCTTTGGATAAATTAGGATAATTGTAATTTCAATCTAACAATTGTGAAACCTTATATAATTCCTCATGCTCGCCGGAATGTTAATATGATCTCCTACATTTGTGGATAATATGTTGACACAATAGGGATTCAGAGCATACTGATATTATAGTTAAATTCTGCAATGAAATTTGCACGGGATTATTCATTCATTTATATTAAATTAGAAGTATGCATTTTGTAAGATGATTTGTGGAGTCAAATTAATAATGGGAATCTCTATCTGGCTTTGTTATCTAACCGATTCATGGATGAGGATTTGATTAATGTTATTCTCTACATGTTTTGCAGTGTAACCTCACTTGTTTAGAATTAATTTATGTTGAATGCAATGTCGTCGAGTAAATCTCTTTCGAAAATGTGAAATCTCTTTAGAATTAATCACTTGCCATTGTGATTTACAATCAACGGGACATTGATCTGTGAAATTGGTACAATCTTCAGATGTTTACAAATTTGCGAACGATTTATGTCATTGCAGATTTGTCTATTTCAATTCTTTTCATTTTGGTTAGGCAGCGGTTTTGGTGTTGATCGGATCAAATCAACACACATAATCAAGGCCAACAACGCATGCTATATATAATACTCCCTCCGTCCCCAATCTATCTATCCATTTGCTTTTTGCACGGAGTTTTAGAAATATTAGTATTATATTGGGATAAAGTAGAAATAAAGGTAAAAAGACTAAATTAACCCTATTAGTATTGTATGATATAAAGGTAATGACATTTGTGTAATATATTCTAAATTAGAAGGGTATTTGTAATGTTAAGTAGATAGTACAATTACTAAAAAAAAAAAGGAAACGGATGCTTTGTTATGGGACGGACCAAAATGGAAAAATGGATAGATTGTTAAGGGACGGAGGGAGTATATCACAATATTGTGTCACATAGAAGTTTTATACTTGTACTATGTTGTATAAACATGTTTATTGTGCTAAAATCAATTAATATACTGCGCTACATTAACTTGCTGTCACAACATATGCTATTAAGTATGTGTTGTCTGTCTTGATTATATGTGCTGATTGGATCAAATTGAACTTAGTCAGCACTCAAACCGAAGCCCTCGGATAAATATGTGCAATTTTTCTTTTTTTTTTTTTGGGGGTTTCTGAGGAATGTCGGTGAAAATTTAGTACTAACTATAGCATTCATTTGTTATCTCGATGATTTTGCAAAGGCTGCTGAGATAACGGAAAAGGTGAACGCGTGGGCTGAAAAGGAAACGAGTGGCCTAATCAAAGAGATACTTCCGGCGGGTTCCGTCGATGCTTCCACAAGGCTACTTTTCGCAAATGCAGTATATTTCAAAGGAGCTTGGGACGAAAAGTTCGACGCATCCGAAACGAGGGACCACGACTTTTTTCTTCTAAACGGGACTTCAATCCGATGCCCCTTCATGACCAGCACTAAGAAACAATACGTCCGAGCTTTCGACGGCTTCAAAGTGTTGCGGCTACCGTACGCGCAGGGCCAAGATAAGCGCAAATTCTCGATGTACATCTTTCTTCCGGACACCAAGGACGGCTTGTCTGCATTATCCGAGAAAATGACCTCTGACCCGGAATTCATCGAGCACCATGTTCGGCTGCGACAAGTAAAAGTGAAAGCTTTTCGCGTCCCAAAGTTTAAGATATCGTTCGGGTTCGAGGCCACGGAAATCCTCAAGAAAATGGGTGTGGTGCATCCGTTCTCCGGCGGGGGTCTGACGGAGATGGTCGAGTCTGTAAACAGCCAGAATCTGTATGTGTCGAACATCTTCCACAAGGCTTTCATTGAAGTGAACGAAGAAGGCACCGAGGCTGCGGCTGCAACGGCTGCTGTAGTAATGTATCGATCGTTGATTATAGAGGAGGAGGTGGAGTTTGTAGCCGATCATTCCTTCCTGTTTGTGCTCCGGGAGGACATTACCGGCGTCATCCTCTTCGCCGGACAACTGGTGGATCCTCGTACTTGATGGATCATGTGTCGTGCTCGAAATAAATACATATATATATGTATATGTATGTATGTGTGTGTGTGTCGTATCATCTGGGAGGGTATAATGTAGATTAGATTTAGATTGAATAAAGAGTGATGAAGGCCTGTTTGGGGTTCTTTTGTGTTTTTGTTTGTGTGTGTTCATGTTATGGGCACTTCTCTTTTCCCTTCAGTTTTGATGCGATCGATTGAGAATATATATATGGTGGGTTTGTTTCGTTTTGGTTTGGTTTGAGGATAGAATTTTTATTTGAATGATATTTCTACTTCCCATATGACATACATATTATTTTAACGTATCAATTAAAATGTCTAATAAAATAAATGAAATTATTAAACCTAACTACATTTTAACAAAAGTTAAAACACATCACCTAAAAATTAAGTTACCAAAACTAAAACAAAATTAAAAACATAAAAAAAAAAAAAAAAAAAAAAAACCAAAAGTCCCGAATACATTCCCCGTCAATCATGTTTGTTTCTATTTTCATCTGCCTTCAATCACAAATCCTAATTGATTCTTCTTCCTGAATCTTTTCTGCCGCAATCCATTCTTACATAGCGAGTTTCGATGAAACGTTGGTGGTTGATGTGGTGCTCTCCGTCGGGCGGTGTTAGTTCATCTTGCCCGTGCTCTGAAAATGCTTGTGGCGACGCCGGAGTTGATGCTTTGATTTTGCCGGTTGATTTTTATACATTTGCTAGAGCTGGCAATGGATTATGTCGGGTCGGGTCAACTTTTTAAACGGATTAAAAGTCAATAAAAAATCGATCCATTTATGTAAACGGGTCAAAACACACAATACGAATCCGACCCGGTAAAATCCGACACGATCCGAAATGAGTTGTTATCCCGTTTTATAATTTTTAAATGAGTCAGATGACCCGACACGATCTGACCTATTAACTCATTTAACACAAAATCGACTTATTTATCTATTTAAAAAAAAAAACAAATCTAAAATTAATATTACACAAATTAAATAATAATGAGTTAATTAAAGATAATTCAGTAAGATAGAAATGAATGACAAATGCCCCCAATTCAATAAACATTAAGAACATAAATATTACACCACAATTCAACAAAACACCAACGACAATGCGAAATTGCTACTGAAATTCAATTCAAAAAAATAGAATCCACATCATATGTGTTACCATAAACACAAACCGAAATTATTCCCAAAGCATGTCAAACTCCTGTAATGCAAGATAAGAAATATAAATTAATGAGGATTGAAAATAACAATATATATTTATTGAATTATCGCTAACAACAATCAATACAACATACAAATGTATAAGAATGAATATACTTAACTCACTAACCTAGAATGCTAACTTTTAGAAACTTTGCTTCTACTATCCGAAATATTTAAGACATCATCATCAACAGAATCTTTCATTTTTCATTTTAAATACTTCTCTAGACAATTCTTTCATATCAGGTTCAAATGATGTTATCCACAATTAATAAATGTTAATATCTCAATGAAAATAATACAAAATTACTTAATTATATAAATTATATTTATAATTGTTACCTTGTTTGGATAGTCAATCCCTAAGACACATCAATGATACTCTCCCATTAATGCTAAAAGCTAATTCCGAATTCACAATGAAGATTAAGATAGCCAAAATATCTCTAGCCATCCGAGTTAGGATTGGATAAGTCATTTGACAAGTTTTCCAATATTCCAGAACATTTGTGTCACTTGTGCGAACTAATGTTGGCTCTTCCAAATATATTTTCCAACAATGAGTGAACTCATTGCTATAAAAAAAATCAAAATCCTACATGCAACAAAAAATTAGAAATATATATTATAAACATGAGCTATATTATGAAATTAAAAATAGATAACTACAAAAATAAATGATAGAATTACCTTCGTAAAACCATCATCAACAACTTGTTCAACCGACATATAAGAATGAGAGCCATGAGCTTTTTGAATGTCACTAGTTGAAGAAGTTGAAAATGAATATTCATTAAACAATCTGAAAAGTTTATCTTGAACAACTTCAACTTAATGTCATAATCCACCACATAAATCTTCTTAAATGCATTCACAATCAATAACTTGAAATTTACATCGAGGATAAAAAATAACAGCAATGTCCATAATAGTATTAAACGGAGTCCAATACTTCTCAAACTTTTCAAACATTTTTACAACCATTATTCTTCATAAATGTATCTTTACTTTTCATCTCCTCGTTCAAAAGTAGCCTCACTTTTACTATGTTAGGAAAGTACAAATTGATTATTGAATACTTAGAATCCGAAAAAGCACAAGTAACTTCATGAAATACCTTTAAAAACTTGGGAAATTTTTTCAATTATCACCCACTCATCAACACTTGGACAATAAACAAAATTTGCATTAGTCTTTTTCAAATGTATAAAGGCTTTTTTGTAATACAATACACTATCTAACATCTGATAAGTAGAAATCTAACGTGTGGGAACATCTTACTTAGACCTCTAACATATTCAAGTCCAACATGTTGAGATCCTTTGCAATATTTGACAACCTCCCTTACCTTAACAACAACTTCATTTACATCTTTCAATCCATTATGTACAATCAAATTTTATATGTGTGCACAATAACGAACGTGGAAATTTTTACCATCGGATAATAAATTCAAATCAAAATTTAACCCACCCACTAAAGAATCATTAGAAAAAACATTATCCAAGGTAATAGACATAATTTTCTTTTCAATGCCTCATTCTTTGAATAGATTAACATCCGCGATGCCAGAGACTTTTGGGTCATTTTTTGGTGAGATTGTTTCAAATTGTCCTAACCTTATATCTAAAAAGCTCAATTCTTTTTTTTTTTTTTTTATTCGATATACTTTGTCTAAGATTTGGTGGTATTGAAATCATGTGGTTTATACGATGACTTGGTTGTGCCGGACTCCGAGGACAAGTTCCACTTACCCTTTTTTGTGCCTGAAACTAGCGGCAAGGCAAATATTCTAGTCAAAATCTCATACGTTGTGCTTTGTGAGGTTAAGTTAATGTTCTTAAAAATTCACTATCCTCTGGTCTTCACTCTTCCATAATATGTTCAGGTAAAAAATTTTATCTATTGTTTTATTGCATTATGTTCTTGTGTGTTAAGTAATGTACTTTTGGATTTAGGACAAATTGATTCAGAAATTATGATTTATCATCATCATTACGTCTCAAACAAATTGTTATTTGTGTTTGTTGTGCAAATTATTTTTGAGGCTTACTAGATAAGTAATTCAACCACAATTGGAATTATAATTATTCCACACACACCTACTTAATAAAAAAATTTATCCAAGAATAATTTACGAGCAGTTGTATATACTTAAGAGTGATGAGGTGACACTCTATGATGTTAATCTCAAGCTCACTGCTACATTTATTATATCATAATATAAATTTTGAGATAATACTAAAACAAAAAATACGAACCACTATTGAACATTTTGTTTATGACTTAAACAAATCTCCTATGTGAGGTGTTTTATAGCAATAATGAGCCTCTTTTACCTAGAATAATTCGTAATACTAAATTTTTTAAACAGTTGTAATGAGATCATCCAAACCCCTGGCTTGATTAACATTAATTAAATGATCAATAATTGTTTTGATCATTTCGACATCCATTTAGATGTCTTTGTTTTGACTTTCAGTTCTCCTGATTGTTCTATTTTTTAAATGAAGTATTCTATATTTATTCCCACCTAGATTTACTATGATCTTCACAATACATGCTTTCCAAACTTAAGAATATTGCACTAATTATTGTGTGAGAGATGTTTAAAAAAATCTTTATAATATTGCACTATATTGCACTATAATTCTTATTAAGGGGATTTAGTTATGTGATGATTTATTCGATGATGAAAATATCTTGAGTACAAACATTTTAATACTTACTGGAATATGAAAAATAAGTATCTTAACATTTAAAAACCTTTTCGTGGCTTTCTTTGTGATTGATTTTAATAACTTTGTGACCATGTCCTGGCTGTTCAATTATGTGAAGTTCTTTTGGCTAGAACTTTTTCAATGATGGAGAAATTTTTTATTTTTCCATCAAATATGCAATATCCATTGAAATTATAGACATATTTAGTCGCAACAGCCATGTATAGTTCTATGACTCAAATTTTCATCCTTATATCAACTATTGTTTAGTTAATGTTGTGTATTTATGGCTTCAATACAATTTTTTTAAGGTGATTTTCATGGGAAAAAAGTTATCGGTATGAAAGGAAAAATATATTTAATGTAAAAAATAGACACATTTTCATTGAATTTGTATAGTTGGATGATGCTGCTTGGTTTCAAATGTGTTTTTTATATATTGTGTATTGTGGGTATTGTTGCTTCGTTCTAAATTTTAGTTGTTTCTCCTGACAATTACATGCATTTATCTTGTTTTCGATTATGTTACATTTTTGTTTTGTTTCAGTGTGATGAAATTTTAATTCATTGATTTTTTTCTCTACAAAAATTCCAATTAGTGAAATAAGATAACTTATCATGTCAAATTTTTATAGTTTCGATGTGTATTAATGTTATTTGTTGTTATATCTCATTCTTTGATTTCATTGAGGATTAATAATAGATTTGGGAGCTTCATTTATACAAATTGTCCAATAATTTTTATTTTTATTTTATTTTTAATCTTTAGGTAATGACCCGTATTTAAATAATAAAATTTGTAATATTTAGTTATATTTTATATTCTTTCCGTTTAAGCTCAAAATATTGTTTTTACTAGTTTCATGTGTCACATTCAAAAGTATTTCTTATCTAAAAGTAATAATACATTAATACTAAAAGACCCTTAATTTTTACCTAAATTACAAACCTATTATTACACATACAATTACTTTATATATAAATCAAAGGGCAAAAATATCAAAATATCTTACACATTTCCAATAACTAATAAAATATTATTTCTTAATATAATACAAAACTCCAAAAATACTTAAGAGGAGTAATTTGTAAGCCAATATATATATATATATTTTTATTTTTCATGCAAATTTATTATCGGATATGTAATTTTAATTATTTTTGTAATTAAAAATAATTTTATCATTTTAATCATGTTTTATTTTTTCAAAATTACATTATTAAAATATAAATGACTTAAAAGCCCAAAAAATACATAAGGGTAAATTTTTTGTTAAACATAATATACCATTAACTATACTTAAAATACAACATTTTTAATATTTATTTCAAAAGTAAAAGTTTTTCTATCAAATGGATGGATGAAGTACCTTATAAAGTTTAGGATAAAAAATATGATTTTTTTTTGGCAAAATACAAAAGAATCAAATGAAAAAAAATAAGAAATTAACAATTCATTCATATAAACACTTTGAATAAACAAAATGTAGAGGCTTAGGTCCCCAATCACTCAAATACAAATACAATCGATACAAAACAATACGAACCAACTAAAAAGGCGACAAATGCACACTCTAAAGCCCCTATCTTCACACAAAATTAGAATAAAAATCCTTACGCAAAACAATGGACATAAAACACTACAAAGAAGTTCGAAAAAAAAGGGAAGAAACACCGCATGTTATAACCTCCAAGTTGGAGCGACAATTCTCGTGTAAAGTGAAAGCATACATAGATGTATCTTGTTCTATCATGAAATATCTTACATAATTATATTTCAAATGGGCATGCATGGATCAACGGTTGATCTGGTCAAGTAAACATGATACTGATATTGGATCAGAATATGCTATATGGATGACCAACATATATTTATACATATTTCAACATATTTATAATATAATATATATATTATACTTTAACTCAGTATATGCTTTCTTACACATGCATATCCTGAATGTATAAACATATGTTGATTACTACATGATATATGCTGACCAGTCAAAACATCGTCAAACTGACTTGGCCGAATCAACACATGATCTGCAATAATTTCTTTAAAGCGACTATCTGAAAATATAGTAACATAAGTACGAAAATAATTAATTCCAAAAATTAAATGTTTTTAGCCATAATGCATCTTTTAATATTTTGGTTATTGCTATATGTACAAACTCGTTATGAAAAGTGAGACTAAAAATAATTTTTTCTAAAAATTAAAACTAAAATTAAAAAATTACTGACTAATTGCACCATAAAATATTTAGAAATAGTTAATGATTTTATTATGTATTGTGCATCCGTGTTTAATATTTACCATTAAAATTAAAATTTATATGATTATTTTCAAATTAATTTTGCAATTCTCCGTATAAAAATATATATATATATTTTTATATAAAATATATTAGTTAAAATACTATTAAAATATAAGAATAAAAGAAATTCACCAAAGTGTATTTGGTTAAAAATTTTGGCATGATTTTACTATTTATTAAATTTCTATCAAATATCAAATTATATATCATTTTTTTATATTATATTAATAATTAATTTTATTTTTAAAATATTATATCTAGACTTATTTACCCTTTATATTACTATTTAAAATTCAAAACTAAAACATGGCCAATTTTGGGACAAACAATCTAGTATTTTTATATTTTTATATTTTAATATATTATTATTAATAGTTGTATTAGATTTTAAACTTACATGCAAATATAACCAAAACTAAAATATACTTTCTTTTTTATTTTTTCTTCTCCACCGTTGCCTCTTGTCGAAAAGGGTTTCATATTGTTGTTCATATTATTATTAGATTGTTGATTTTATAATAGTTAATATATTATTTATTTTCAACTCGTAATACATTTTGCGCATATGACTTTTTTTTTTTTTATTATTATTGAATATATGATTAAAATATTTTTTATTATTATTATTATTGAATATATGATTAAAATAATTTATTTTTTTTGTGAGATTCATTATTATATCTGTAGTTAATATTATTTAAAAATAAATTTAATATTTTCTTACTCTCTCACGTGTAATGTCATATTTTTATTTTAAATTTGTTTCACATTTGGTGTCACTTTTTTCTTTTTAAAAAATTATATATTTTAATCGCATTTTAATTTTATAATTTATAATCTTTTTTAGAAATTTTATTAGACTAATTAATTATTTTAATTTTTAATTATTTTTATTATATTGTAATTAATTTTACTAATGTATTTTTAATTATTTATTAATTATACTCTTTTTAAATTTTCGTGTTAAAATATATTTAGAAACAATATATTATATTTATGATAGTTATCTTATTTAAGAGATTGGAAGAATTCTTACCTTATTTAGACGATTTGTATATCACTATAAATATGTACATATCCTTATGATTGAAATAGAGAATTTAAATTTCATATTCTAACATTTCATATCTACAGTAATTTTGACATAATGTCGGTAATGAAAAAAATAATATATTTATCTTATCTAAAGCTTTATTTTTCTTATAATCCTGAAGAGAATATTGCAAAAAATATTCCACACTTATACCCTATTATCACTTTTTGTCCTGTATTTATCTCCCTAGCAAAATATATTCCACATGTTTACAAAAGTCGCTATTTATGTCATTTGCCCCCGCGCGTGAAATTCACACCACGCGCAATCACGCGCGGCCATGCGCGGTCAAATGATAGAAATAACGACTTTTGCAAACATGTGAGATATATTTTGCCAATGAGATAAATACAGGATAAAAATGATAACGAGGTATACGTACGAGATATTTTTTGCAATACTGCCTGATCCTGAAAAAATTTGAAAGTGCGGTTGAAATGCACCCTAGAAATATAGGCGATGTCATTTGGAATTTACCAAGAAATAATATACACGAAATGATAATATATAATATTAATAGATGTAGTTAATCATCTTTCGTTGACAAAAATACATTTTCATAGAAATGACCTCCTTAATTCTTCACCGTGCAATACTCATCAACCAATCAACGCATACACTTGATACGAAAATTTTATTAAAATTAAAAAGCTCACCTTCGTCATTCACTTATATCTATATTAAAAATACATTCCATAAATATAGTCTTAATTGGATTGGACACGAGATTTGAAAAATATTGATATTATATTGGTAGTTGGTAAAAAATTATAGATAAAAGAATTTTTCGTCCCTGTGAGTATATTAGTGTAAAAAGTAGTGACAATTGTGTAATAAAAATAAAAAGTATGAGTAATTTTATGGTGATATGATTATTTATGAAAATAAAATTATTTTTTTTTTGGACGAATAAAAATGGTAAATAAAACTATTGTATTGGGACAGAAGGGTATAATTTATCTTGTTTGGTTAAATTTAATTTACATGTTATTTAATTAAGGGTAAATTATATAATACTCATTTGTGTTTTAGTAAAAATATACAGAATATCATGTGTTTTATTTATTGCATGAAACTCATGTGTTAATGCAAAGTTGATACGAAATAAAAACATAAATTACACAAGTTTTATACAAATAAAAAATACAAAATATTTTAAAATAAATAAATAAATAAATAATTTATTAATCTCTTACAAAATTTTATATTAACAAAAATAAATAAAATATTAAATAATTTATGCATTTTTTACGAAAAACACATGCACAAAAAGTGTTATATAATTTAAAAAATAAAAAAGCAAAAAAAAAATTGCAAGATAGATAAGCATGGCAAGAGGTGATATTGACAACAACCAGGGGCATTCTTGGTATTTCAGAACCCCACACACCCCATGCCGTAAGTTGCCAGAAAGGGACAAGAACCTTCAACTCAAATCCAATCCCCTTTCCTCTTCCTCTTCCCCCTCTCTCTCTCTCTCTCTCTCTTCTGAATCATCAATCTCTTCAATGCCATTATTATTTCCTTTTCTTCTTGCATCACATGTGTCAGGCAGAAAGAAGCAACCATACTCATCCCCATCTGTACAAAATAATATTTTATATATATATAAAAATTATTCTCTCGACCTTCCCAATAAAATCAAATAAATTAAATTAAACTAATCTAAACAAGCCCTTATTTCAATGCAGTTTCATGTAATAAGAAGTACCAGCACCTCTGCTTTGCGTATGCATATGTCTACTGCCTAAACCGACCTCAAAATAATTGTAATAATAAATTAATAAGTTTCATTTAGGTGTCGGTGATTAAGTGCAGAGTCTGTCTGTTCGTGAAAGATTAACAGCAAAAGGAAAAAATAAAATTAGGAAAGGAAGAAAGAAGAGCAAAATCTTTGGTACTGTGCGAAAAAGCAACAAAAAAATGGTGGAAACAGGCAATCACGATCACCACGCGCCGCCGCCGCCGACTCAGGCGCCTCCTCCGCCCGCCGTCGCACCGCCGCTCGGCGCTGCGAGAGGCCCGCTTTTCCCTCCGGCGGAGCAGCTCCTTCAGCTCAATTACTGCATCCATTCAAACCCTTCTTGGGGTCAGTAATTTGTTAATTACTGCTCTATTTTATACTCTTCGATGGATTGATTTATTTATTTCTTTTGATTTTATACTGTTTGTGCTGAATAATTTGTTGATTTTTTCTAAAATGAATACATACATATATATATATATTTACAGTATCCTTTTCAGTGATGAGCAATTTTTTCATTACATTGTAATGCTTAATTTTGGACAATCGAAAGTAGTTCATATGCATCTGCCCATCAAAAAGTATGTGTGGATGAAGACAGTCGAATTAATATAAGTGTGGATCCCTATAAAACAAATGCTTTGTTTGAAATAATGCTCGATGTAATATTTTGCACGAGAAAAAATATTTTTTTTTCGAAAATTTAGAATCTAAATAGTAAAAAACGGGGAACAAAAGCCAAAAGAATCTTGCAAATGTAGGATTTTACCGAGCACAAGTTTCTTGTATTCATTGAATGAAGGCTTTCGAATAATGATTCGATGGATTAATTACTCTGAAAATGTTATTGAGATGTAAAGGTACTAACCTTGTACAATCGAACACATTCGATCTAAGTATCGTCTCGAATGATTATTGACCAGATATTTTTTCATTACTATGATCCCATGGATCCTTCATTGTTAATTCTATGTTTACCGGACGATTTTATTACAGTACAAACCGCGATTCTCGGTTTCCAGCATTACATTGTTATGCTCGGGACGACTGTCATGGTGGCCAGCGTGCTCGTGCCTCGAATGGGCGGAGGACCCGTAAGTTCATTCTCACTCTCACTCTCAAATGTGTCCAAAAACATGTCTGAATGATCGTTTATTTAAGTGTCAAAGAAATTTTATACACAGGGGGACAGAGCACGGGTGATCCAATCATTGCTCTTCATGTCCGGAATAAACACTCTTCTTCAGACATGGTTTGGCACGCGGCTTCCGACTGTAATGGGCCCGTCGTTCAGTTATGTTATATCTGTGTTTGCCATTGTCAACGATCTTTCCGATACAGATTTCCAAAGTGAGCATGAGGTATATATATATATATATATTCACAACACTGTTTTTCCTCACCTTTGTCTGATTAAGACATAGATTCATGGGAAAATACTAATTCGATGTGCGTTAGAGATTCACTCACACCATGAGAGCCATTCAAGGATCGCTGATTGTGTCTTCATTCGTTAACATTTTACTCGGATACAGCAATGCCTGGGGAAATCTTACAAGGTGATTCAATCTTAAAATACCTTATCCGTAATTCCTTTTCCGGATATTTCAAGCTTATATTTTCATCGTTTCGTTTCTATATGCACAATTACTAATTCGAGTTTTGCTTCAAACAAACAGGTCCTTGAGTCCAGTAATTTTAGTTCCATTCGTCTCCGTAGTAGGTCTTGGCTTATTTTCACGAGGTTTCCCTCAGGTATTCTTGCCCTTTCGCTACCTCGTTTTTTAAGTGTGTGTCAGAAATCCTCTATATTTCATTTTATGCTTGTTCTTCCTCTAAAGCTCGGAAACTGCGTCGAAATTGGCTTACCTATGCTGATTTTGCTGGTGATTTCCCAACAAGTAAGATACCATACTTGTGCTCGTCCCGGTAATCTTATTTTTCTTCGAAATCGGAACATTAGGATAACTACATCATATATATATGTTTGCAGTACTTGCAACACATTCATCCAGTTGCCCGGCCCATGCTAGAGAGATTTGCTTTACTCGTCTGCATCGGCCTTGTTTGGGCGTTTGCTGCGATTCTTACAGCTGCCGGCGCTTACAACCATGTTAAGCAGCAGACCAAAATAAGTTGCCGTACTGATCGCTCCTTTCTCATGTCGTCTGCTCCATGGTATGTTCCGTGTAGACGTGTATAGTGATTTTCCTTCTCGTGTTGAACATTCTATTTTGATTCCTCCATTGTTGGAAAGTTTCGAAATCGGAATAAATATAAAAAGAAAAAGGAGAAATATTTTTTAGTCATGGAATTTTCTCATCTTGACGGCTTTTAGTCATATTCCGACGCTTGTTTCATGCACACATTTTGAATCTTTATAGGATCAAGATTCCATATCCTTTTCAATGGGGTACGCCTATATTCCGAGCGAGTCACGTCTTTGGAATGATGGGTGCCGCGCTAGTTTCTTCAGCCGAGGTTCTTTTATTTTCTATACGATCGAGCTTTAATGTGAAGCTAAAGATTTGAGCTTTCTTAATAATACGCTCGTATCGTTTTGCAGTCAACGGGAACGTTTTACGCGGCAGCACGGCTTGCTGGCGCGACATCACCACCCGGGCACGTGCTGAGCAGGAGCATCGGGCTACAGGTAAGTTTACGAGCTTCTGTCTCGAGTATGTAATAGATTTAGGCTGATTGATGATGTCATTTGGTCGATCATTTTATTTCGTTCGTTTCAGGGCATTGGGCAGCTGCTTGAAGGGATATTCGGCTCAGTTGCCGGGACAACTGCTGCTGTGTAATAAGCTTGCGACTTTTTGTGTCCTGGCTAATCTTTCGATACTATATGTATATATATTGAAAATCTTAGTTTTAATTTTCCATGTTCTTGTCTTTCTGCAGTGAGAATGTCGGCCTTCTGGGATTGTCCCGAGTTGGAAGCAGAAGAGTTGTGCAGATATCGACTGCTTTCATGATCTTTTTCTCGATATTTGGTTCGTTCTATTGCTTTCTTTACGCATTCTTGAATCAAATCTACTTTGTGAACGTAGGTTGTATTTTTCACTATTTGCAATATATTCTTGATCGGAAAAAACTTTTTGTAGGAAAATTTGGGGCATTTTTCGCATCAATTCCATTGCCAATATTTGCCGCGATATATTGCATCTTATATGGTATTGTTGGTAAGTCAAGTTTTTTAGGCCCTTTACAAATCCATCGTTGTTTCTTCTTTGTTTACTAATGGTGTGACTAATTCCGCGGCTTCCTTCGACAGCTGCTATCGGGATTTCGTTTATGCAATTTACAAACAACAATTCTATGCGGAACATCTACGTGTTAGGGGTCACATTTTTCTTGGGCATATCGATCCCCCAATATTTTGTGATGAATACAGACGGGGCTGGGCATGGACCTGTCCGGACAAATGGAGGATGGGTAATAACCTTATGCATTCATTTCGCGCATTTTCTTGAATTGAGGCCTCGCATGCGTGCATTGAGTAGAATCGTTATTACTTTATTACAAAATAGAGTTCGTAAATAAGTTTGAAATATGACGCACTTAATTGTGAGGTGTTTGTAGTTATGTAGTCGATTAGAGATGTCATGCTGATTCGATGATATCTTATAACACAATATATGTTGTATTATGTAAAATTAATATTGTTTACCTTTGCGACATATCATGATCCGGTCAAATCAGTACAATATCTTATAACACAACATATATCGTATATATAAAATTAATATTGTTTATCTTTATGATATATGTTGATTCAGTCAAATCAGATTTGACCGGATCGGTATATATTATAAAGGTGAAGAACATTAATTTTACATAATACAACATATGTATATCAAATTAGCATTGGTGCTGATTTGACCGGATCAGATCTAGATTTAACCGGATCAATATACGTCGTAAAGATAAAATAACATAAATTTTACATAATATATTGTGTTATAAAATATCATATCAAACAAGTCTTGGTGCAGATTTCATCGAATCAGCATAGCATGGGATCCATGTCCGGCTTGGCATGGATCCCGTGTAGCCGGTTTTAGACTTGAGTGAACACAATCTATCTAACTCTATTGTTCGATGATCGATCTTTTACATGATTTGTGTGGTGTCAGTTCAACGATATCCTGAATACAATATTCTCGTCGCCGCCAACTGTGGCGCTGACGGTCGGGACAATTCTGGACAACACATTGGAGGCGCGGCATGCCGGCGACGATCGAGGGCTTCCGTGGTTGCTGCCCTTCCACCACCGGAAGGGCGATAGCCGCAACGACGAATTCTACAGCTACCCGCTGCGTATAAATGAATACATACCCACTCGATTCCTGTAATGTAATTACTAATTAGTATATATATACAACATCTTGTTTGTTTTGGTTGGTATCGGATTACATTTTAGTTAAGTACTAAATGTAAATTATATGCATGAAAGAATGCACCTTAGTTTTCATTTTTATATATTTTTTGTTTTCATTTCTGTAAGGTATGAGGTGAGGTATAAACAATGCTCCGTTTAGATAATAGCTTTTGAGTTTTGAAATTTTGAAAATAATAAAACATGTTTTTATTTGTGAAATTTTGATTTTGGTCTTATAATTTTAATTTTTTAAATATTTATTATACTGCATTAAAAATTTATTATATATTAAAAACATACATCAATATATATATATTTATATTATATCAAATAATTATTTCAATTTAAATATAAAATTCAACAAATAAAATACACCCAAAAAGTTTAGTAGTATGTTTTGTATTAAATACTCTTAAATATTTTGGTTTGTTTCAAATACGGTGCAATATTTTTTAAATAAAAAATAATTAATTATGAATGTGTTTCTCTAAAGAGGTTTGGCCCATTTTAATGTTCATGATAAATGGCATCAAGTCATCCCTATGCCACTCTACCTATGCCATCCTATACTGAAGGGAGCTGCATTCAAGAGTTTTATATACTTCATCCGTCCAGTTAGAAAGTATATTTTAGGACATCCAATTACAAAGTAACTATTTCATTAAATACCTCATTTTTTCCACAAATACTCCTATTTTACATCACATCATTACTTTTATACCAAAAAAGTAAAGGCAAAAATGTCATTTCACTGCTTTTACCTACACACTATAATTAAAATACTATTATTCTTTAATGTTCGCGCCAAAAGTAAATGTATACTTTTAGCTTGGACGGAGGGAGTATTTTTCTTTCTAAAAAAAAATAAATTTATAAAAATATATGGCACAGCTATGCACGTATCTACCAAACTATATACTCCTTCCGTCCTATTGAAAGGTTGTTATGTTCTATTTGTGTCCGTTACATAACAAGATTTTATCATTTTTTTATTTAATAATTGTACTACCTTTCTAACTTAATAAGTATATCCTTTCAATTTAAAATATATTATACAAATATTATTACTTTTATATTATACAATATTTTTGTTTTTTTTCCATCAACCAAATATAATACGAATATTAAAAAAAGTACGTACAAAAAGTAAAACCTATCTTTCAATGGGATGGATGGAGTATATGATAATTAAAATAATTATAATTTAATAAAATATATACCATATGTATGTCATTTCGTAGAGAATAATTTTTTTTTATAATTCAAATAGATAAAAATATAAAAACATACATAAATAGTATAAATTCATATTTAAATCATACATTATTAATTTTAACAATTTAAATTTAACATACATTTATATTATTATACTTATTGTCTATCAAATCAACAATTTTCAAAACCTCTCAACCCAAATCAAACCTATACACCTAAAAGAACATAAAAATCCAAACTCTTTATAAAATTCAAACTCAATTCAAACCAAAATCAAATTTCTCCAAATTTACCTTAAAGAAACATGACCTATATTTAACCTTTTATAAATACTATAATATTTTATTTCATCACATCACTCGAATATTAAAAAATAAAAATATATATTTTTTTATCATATCATTTAATTTTCAAATTATCGTAATAAATATTATCTATTTAAATTTTTGTACTGTATAAAAAAAACCAAATATGTTTGTTAAAATATTTTAAAAGAAAAATATATTTAATTTAATATTTTTAAAAATTTATATAATGTCAAAGTTTCTAAAGTTGCTTAATAAATAAATTTGTTGGGGTTTCTTTAATTTTTATGGTGTATGAGAGAATATAAAAATATATTGGGTGTGTTTGTTTTGTGAAATAATTTTAAAAAAATATTTTTTTTTTTTTGTGTAAGATATAAAAAATTATGTAATCAATATCAAAATAATAAATAAGAATAAAAAAGAATTAATCTACAATTTATATTTATGTTTTATTTAATATTATACTTTTTTTTTATCTCAATTCTAATTCAAAGTAATTTTTTTTTTATAGTAAATTAAAAAATAATACTCCCTCTGTCGAGAAAGTAAACATTTATTTTTGTGCGGTATTTAAGAAATAATAATATTTTAATTATAGTGATAGTTAAAAGTAGTGTAATGACATTTTTGCTCTTATTTTTTGGTATAAAAGTAATAATGTAATGTAAAATAAGAATATTTATGATAAAAAAATGAAGTATTTGATTAAATATTTATTTTGTAATGAACATTCCAAAATAAAAATATATATACGGAAAAAGTAATATTTTATTAATTATCGTATAATAATTTTGATATTTTGTCTTTGTAAATACGAAAGAAATAAATAATTTTATAAAAATTAAAAATATTTTGATATTTATATACTCCATCCGTCACTTAGCAATCTATTCATTTTTCCATTTTGGTATGTCTTATAACAAAGTATCAATTTTCTTTTTAATAATTGTACTATATACCTAACATTACAAATACCCTTCCAATTTACAATATATTACAGAAATGTCATTACCTTTATATTATACCATACTAATAGGGTTAATTTAATCTTTTTACCTTTATTTCTACTTTATCTCAATATAATACTAATATTTCTAAAACTCTATATAAAAAGCAAGTTGATATATAGATATATGACGGAGGGAGTATATATATATAAATTGTGACATCATATATAATTTTAATAATAAGAAACAAAACAACATTTGCCTCAGGCTTCTATTCATAAAATTAAATACTCATTTCATTCAAATTCAAATATTTTTTTATTATTTTTTGTCATTCTCATTTCAAAATATATATTTTTTATTTAGAATAAATAATCATACACTAATATCAAATGAGAGATTTAAAAAAGAGGTCAAAAATTCTGCAATGAAAATTTTTTTTCAATAGGGTACCCTATTACTTTTAGAGTTAGTTTAGTACATAGAATTGAATTACAAAGAAATAATAGTAGAGAATAGAATTGCGAGAAATGATAGTAGACAATGGAATTGTAGAGAAAAAAGAATTTGTCTTTTGTTTGACAAAACAAAGAATTCAATTGAGAATCGTAAAAATAAAATACAACCCATAAATTGAATACACTGTATTGCCAAGTTGAAAAAAATATATATATCAATTCATTAAATAATGATAAATTAGATAAGAAAAATATTATTGTATTTTTTAGTTATATTTTTAATTTGATAATTTATTTTAGTAATAATTTAGATATGATAATTTATGAGATTTGAATAATATAAAAATTAGATAATAAAAAATAAACAGAAATTAAATAGTAAAAATTAAATATAAATAAATAAATATATAAACAAACTACGTTTTTTTAATTTTATTTCCCTTAATTTCTCTTTATACAGTAGATAAATAAAACTAGAGAACAAAAAATGGTTTATTTCTGTCTCAACCAAAAAAAAATGGAGACATTTTCAAATATCTGTCTATATTAAATTTTACTTTTATATCATTTTATAAAAGAATTAATATATTTATATAAAAACAAAAATTAAATAATTTTAATATTAATTATTATTTGAATTATATATTTCATTAAATTTATACTATTATTTTTATTGGTACAATATTTTTTTAAATAAATTAATACATTCCTTGTTTAAAATTATTTTTTATTATAAAATTTATTTGAATTATTAAATTATAGGGATGACAATGAATCGGATTCATAAGAAACTGAAATTCGTCCCAAATATATATTGTTATATCCGGGGTTAAAATTGGATCCGATTATACCAGATCCGACCGAAACTATACCCGGTAAGACCGGATGGATTCGACAAATCCATTTTTCTTTTTTACAATTCTTAAATTTTAATTTACAATTGCACATGTACCGGACTCAACATATATTAAAATTTATGTATTTTATTAAAAAAATATTATAATAAAATAATGAATAAATTAAACTCAAAAAATATTTTTAATATAATTATATTGTTAGAAATTATTTTTTTGCATATTTGTAGTTGATATATTATTAATATATTACCCCAAACATGACCCGGACAGTTTACGCGAACCTATTGCCATCCTTATAAAATTATTGATATCTTTTCAATTTATATTAATAATAAATTAAAAATTCGTATTAGAATATAAAAAATCTAAATCCTTCAACTCATATGGAAAAAAAAAAATTGAAAAATATAAATTCTACATAATGTTACCAACTAAACATAGAATAGGATTCCAAATCCTAAATATAATAAATTTCATCACATATAAATCAAATCTCAATCCTACAAAAAAAAAAAAAAAAGTCCATCAACCAAAAATTCCTTTAACTTTTACTTAAATTATAAATATATTATTACATATATAATTACTTTATACATAAAATTATAAGATAAAAATATCAAAATATCTTACAAACTTCTGCTAACAAAAAAAAATATTTTTGCATTATTCACTAATAGTAAAAAAAAATGATCATATCAAATATTTATTTATTTTTATTATTAAGTATTCAAATTTTATTATTTGAAAAGGAATCTTCAATCCCTTCCAACCCCACCCCACTTCACAACTATATATATACATACACGATGATTTGTTTGTCCAATATTTTCTTTACACAATTTTTAATATATATATTTTATTATTTTACAAAAGTTAATATTTAATATAATTTTTTTTTATATTACTAATATAATTCTTTATACCTTATATAAAAAAAATATTCAAATTAAACCACTAAATAAACAAACAAAATATATATATAAAGTTACTTTATATATATATATATTTACATATTATGTATAAATGTACACAATTGTATGGTGAGGTTGGAGGCTGGCTCCGTACATGGAACTGGTGACCCCATCCTTCATTATTTTTAAATTTTCAAAAATCTAATTAAAAATATTTAATTATTAAATTTTCAAAAATCTAATTAAAAATATTTAATTATTTAAAAAAATCTTAAAAAAATTCCTATTATTATATATATATAAAACACATACGTTTATTTATTTAATGCTTCAATGTAAAATATATTTTAATATGACCTATAGAAAATTATATTAATCATATTAAAATTAATATTTTATGTTAAATACTCTCTCCGTTCCATATCTATA